AGAGGATGGGGTACACGCCTAGGGGTATAAATGGGTTTGAGTAGGGCTGAGGGGTCTGATCCGGAGCTGGATGAAGGGGGTGAAAGGAGGAAGGGGTAAGAGGGTGTCAGCCCGGCTCGCTCTCCCTTACCAGCAGTTTCCCAGCAGTCCCTGCAGGATATCCGAGGGCCTGGGTGTCCGAAACACCGACCACTTCACCGATCGGTCCTTGAAGATGCTACAGTTGATTTCGTGGGGTCGCAGCCACTGTTTCACCCTCTGCTGCACGCTATCGCCTTCCGGGAATCCCACGGACTTGGGCCCAGGGTGGAAACTGTCATCTACAAAATTGACTTTGTTCTGCGAGAGCGAAAGGCAAGGAGAGCATCAGTTTCCCAGGGCCTCCTGGGACAGGGCTGGCCTGAAAAACTCCCACTGCATCCCCAGGAGTGAGAGCGGAGCCCCCAGGCCTCCTGCCTGGCCCAGGCAGCCCCTTCTGACGGGGAGCAGGTCTGGGGCTGGCTGTCTGCTGGCAACGGCACAGATTTTTGTGCATCAGGTCCAGCGTTCAGCCCTGCCACGAGCCGGCTCACCTCTCCAGCCCCCAAGCTCCAGAATGCAACTCAAATCTGTCTTTTTCTGTTTCACATGAAGCTCCCCGGGCAGGGACCATCTCGCACTTTGTGCTGGTGCTAAAAGCCGGACCGTGGGGGACCTTGGCTGCCTCTATAAGTGACAAAGCACGCAAGCAGCAAGCCTGCAAGGAGCCACCTGGCAAGCAAACGCTCCTCAAACCGAGCTCTGTGCTAAGGGCTGAGCTGCCCCTGCTCCGGAGGGGACACGCTGGGCTTGGCAGTCCTGTGCCACCCCCAGGCACAGCCATGGAGGATGTATGGGGTGGCTTTTGCAATTGGATTCAGCCCAACCACAAACAGGCAAGCAATTCCAGAGTGAGGGTATCCCATGTCCGAGCCCACCTGCAATAGCTGCTCGCAATAAATAAAATAGGATGGACTGAAGGGCAGATAATCCCATAAGTATTAGCCAGAGAGGCAGGATGGAAGCACAGAACTTCACCAAGGGGAGAAGGGTGGCTTTTGCAAACAGTTTAACACAGGGTGAAATAAGAACCAGGATTTCTTTGTTATTGTTAAATTAAATTCTTCCAGCAAAAGCCGGCTCTGATTTAAATTAGCCTTTATGCACACCAAACTAGTAGTTGTCCTTCCTCTTTTGTTGCAATTCTACGTGAACGCTTTCTACGTGGTGCCTCAATTAGCACTTCCAGCTTCTCTTTTGCAGAAGGGTGTTTTTCAGCTAATAGATGTCACTGTTCAAATACCAATGAGGGCCAAAAAGGACACCTCCCAGGGCGTGCTGGCTTTCTCAAGGGGAGCATCTGCTCCGTGCAGCTGACAAGCAGACGCCTCTGCTGTATCAGCCAGCAACCTCATCTTGCCACATCCCAGCCTCACACACTCGCCTCTCGGGGTGCAGCCAGGGCTCCCCAGGAACCCGCCGTGCAGGGCAGTGCGGACACAGAGCAAGGCAGCAGTCCGTGAGCCAGAGCCTGTGGGCATCGCAAGCTTTCTGTCCCCTGTGCAGTCACTGCGGTGCTTTTCCAAGCAGCAGAGGTGGAGGAAGCCTTCAGCCTCCCTCGTGTCACGGCCAGGGTCTCACCAGGGCCAGGACAGCACTCAGCAGGACTGCAGGAGCCTGAACACGAGCCCACAGACCTCACCAGCACTGACGATAGAGGCAATGCAAGAGCCGTAGCAGTGCAATTCCCCAGCAGCATCAGGAAAGCCTGCCTAACAAGCTAATTACCTTTATACCGTGATGTCTCCCTTCGCATATTTCTAAATGCTTTAGAGAAGTTGTCACTATCAATATCCCTGGAGATGGAGGGAAAGAAAAAAAAGCGGGGAGAGGAGCAGGTAGCTCCTCTTGTGCCCAGGCAGCGATGAGCCTGCTCACAGATGGTGCCAGACGAGGAGCCCTGCTTATCTCTCCTGCAAGGGGATAAATCCAGGCATCTGCCAACAACCCTCTTCATGCCGCTCTGGACCAGGGACATGACCTTCTCTGCTGCCACCTCCCCGGGACCGCACGGGCCGAGGCAGGCTGCTGCCTTGCCCCGCATGGCCTTGCTGCCAGTAGCGAACTGCCTGACGGGTGGAGAAGAAGGAAAACAGAGATGGGGCCTGCCCCAGCACACGGAAAGGCTCTGCAGGCAGAGGTGCATGGCACAGACAGCAAGAGCCCTGGGTTGTCTTTCTAGCTCTGCAGAATGTGCTGATGCGTGTTGTTATTCAGAAAGGGGGAAAGATGGTTAATCAGAGAAGTGTGAGACAGTGGGATAAGCAAGAGAGGGGACAACACAAGACAGGGAAACAGATGCCCGGAGCAGAGGCAGCTAGCGGAAAAGGTCAGCTCTGCTCTCCTCCCAGACAGAAGAAAAAGGGTAAAGCTAAAAGTGGGGGCCATGCACCGAGAAGCGTTGAAAAAGGCACCCCTGGAATAGCGGAGGAGGGAGCACCCACAGCAGGAGCTCGAGCAGAAATCCCTGCAGGGCGCAGCGCAGCACGGCAGGCTGCTCCATGCGACTTGGGGCAGGGGGACAACAGGCGGAGGAGAACTTGGCCAGCCTGACACTCCTGCAGGTGAAGGCTGAACAGCCTGTGAAACACCGTGGACAGAAGGAAGCTTGGAGGCTGCCTTCCATGCCAGCCTGAACAGGAGCAGTGGTGGGAGGCTGCGGGCACACCAAGAGCAGAGCAAGCATGGGTATGGGAGAAGCACTGTCCCACCACCACTGCCAGTCCTTCCCTTGGACCTGCAGAGCCCTTGACTTACCATAAACAGTGTCAGAACACAGCAGTGATTTAGTTTTAGGGGGATTTTTAGGAGATAGCCCATGCTGATCTAATAGCCTAATACTGCCAGCTTAGCGAGCTGAACGGGCTCAGCCAAGGCTCCGACCGAGAGCTGGGCTGGATGGGGCGAGGCAGACTCCCCTTCTTGGCAGCGGCAAGCTGCTAATTTAACTTGGCCAGCTCTCATAATTCATCCTTCAAGCCTGATTCCACTGGATGTAACAGATGTTCCCTGCCTACAAAAGAGACTATTCACTTGCTTAAAAGAGAGGGATAAACAGAATCAGGGTATATCTGCTATAAAGACACCCATGTCTGTTAGGATGGACATGTAGCAATTAAAAGACACCCACAACCCCAAAACAGGATCATTCTCAACAGCTTCCCTCCCAAGCCAAACATCTCTGTGGTCCCCAGTCTGCACAGCAGAGGCACAGGCATGGACACACTCCTCAGACCAGGCAGAAAAAGCCCTGTCTGTATGTCAAACTGGGACTGCAACTCCCTTTCCATCTGGTCCAGAAGAGCTGGAGGTTTCCCCCAGAAGGAGGGCAGAGAAAGAGCAGCATTCACAGGAGCGTCTTATGCCACTTAGGGAAAAAAATGGGGCCATCAGAGCAGTGTTTGAGACTGAAACCCAACAGATTGAGCCAGATACTTCACAGTGGGAGGGGAGGGTGCTAGCATGCCCTCCTGAGACCCTCACCTGGAGCCAGGGTACAGCTAAACCTCAGCTGTTCTTCCCAAAACAGGGGCGAGCCATTTGCAGCTGCAGCTGTGCATTCACAAACGCCAAAACCAAGAATGCCAAGGCTTGGCTTACAGTTCTTGAACACTTGCAGTTGCTGGCAGTGGCAGCAGTTCCTCTGCCTGCACCCCTGCCGGTGCTCTGAGCCTCTGCCTGCTGCATCCCCAGATTTCCTGCACCCACACATGTCGCAGTTGCTGCCCACAGACAGCGGTGCCACCAGCAAACCTGGACACAC